ACACACACACACACACACACACACACACACACACACACACTTACTCTGCCTCATATTTGCATGTAAAGCCTTATAATATGGGGCTGATTTGTGATGTAAGCAAGAAGTAAATCGTTCAGCTGTGTCTATCATACCTCCGCTCTCCTTTCAAATATGACTACTCTCTCTTACTCTCTCTCTCACACACACACATGCAGAAACTAACACAAAAAGACAGACATATGATGTGTTTTCATAACATTTGATGGTGTTTTTTTTAATATTATATTATATTTTTTACCTAACAGCTGTAATGCTTGGGAAACAAGTCACCAGTGTCAGCACTAAAAGTTAGTCCCAAACAAGTTAAACAGTGCGTCTCAAATCTTTTTAAACAGCTGAAATTGAATTGCCTTGAAGCTCTTTTATTACTTAACCGCTGCGGCTAATTAACACTGACTTCCACATGCAACCTGGCGATGAAAAATCTGAGAAATCCTGGGACAGTTACAGATCTAGGCGAGGGGGGGAGTGTTTATTAGATAGCAACGGGAGTGGGTAGAGATGTGATTAATTTGAAGAGGGAAGGCTGCATTGAGGAATTTCCTGAAAAGATGAATCCTCACATTTAAAGGGAATATGAGAAGTGACTGCTGCTCTGACTGAAGCAAGAAGGCTATTCTTCCAAATGGGAGAGAAAAGAAGAACTAAGGAAGCCCAAGGTCTCAGTGTCAGTGGGTTGATCAATTCAGTAGGCTGACATGAAACCGGAGGAAGACAGAGATGACAAATATTTCATATTTATTTCTTTTTTTAACTTAAAAAAATAGAATTATTTACCTCATGTGCCTGCTGTCAAATACTCAAACATTTCTTTCTCACCTTTTATACAATGACTAATTATCTCCTGTAAAGTTATATTGTTGCAGTCCAGGCCTTTTCACATTTGGTCCTTGATTGCAAATGCTAAAATTCGACTACACCTTACTACAGCTGCTGTCCAGTGACATATGAGACAGTGTTGATATTTAGACAGATGGATGGTATAAATAGAGGGATAAAAACCTATCAAATGCACACAAACATATAACATGTGCACACACACACACGTACACAAACGCACGTTCCATACAGCAGGCTGCAGCCCCTCAGCGCTCCTCTGTCCTCACATGCTTGGTTTCCCCATCTAATTGCTGCCATTCGTCAGTGTGTGTGCGTGTGTGCACATGTGTGTGTGTGTGTGTGCGTCTGAATTCATACACTCCTGTACTTTGTGTTTTTTGTGTTCCCTTCATAATTTTGTCTGTGTGCATTTACAAACAAGCACGGTGAAAAGAGAGAAAGTAGCATCATCAGACAGACAGGTAAGACTGGGAAAAGAGAAAGGGAGAAAGACAGAAAGATACAGAGGCAGACACACACACACACACACACAGAGCTGTCACAGTGCCATAGGGCATACAAAACCTGTCAGCGTTTAAAACTACCGGCTTGTACCCTGCCTTGCCAATTGGAATTAGTCTCACATCATATGCCATTTTCTTTGTCAAAAGCAACAGCTATTTTATTCTTACTACAACTAAACACAACAGTTTAAATACAATCAGAATCACTTCACTAAGTACCATAAAAGTCGGCATATTTGTTATTTCCCGAGTCAGTTTTCGCATGGTTCAGAGATTAAGAATTTGATTGTGCATATAAGAAATGCCGTTGCACACAGTGAGGCACGTTAAGCAACAAGGAATAGAAAAATGCACAAATGAAACAAAAGGCCATAAATGAATACAAATCGATATTTGAGATCACTGGCTAAGAAGCTTCCAAATAATACTTGA